AATTCCAGCTATCTTTTATTTTTTAATTTTAATTTTTTTACTTTAGCAGCAAAAACACGACGGAATGCAGCGTAACGTTAAAATATTCAATTCAGTTCACCAATTCTGCTCTAGTTCGTTTCTCCAGTTAAACAATTAATTGTTCAACATATAAAAAGTATTCTCTATGCAAAATTTAAGGAAATAAACGGGAAAAGTTTTGTTTCTTACCAGGTTTTCCGGCAACACTGAAACTGCGCATGCGCTTAATGATTTGGTGCAATGACGTTACACCGTAAACGTCTTTAGACTATTTACGTTTTTGATTAAATTAACTTTTGACGTGTTATCGGGGTAAAAAATAGCCTGAATGTGTCTAAAAATATCAATCAATAGTTAAAATAAAAAGAAACAATAAAGAATTAAAAAATGAAACCTTTGTACCGGAAGCAACGTTAAAAGTGGTCATGTGATCTCTGTCATGTGAGTCACGGTGGCCGAGAGGTTAAGGCGTTGGACTCGAAATCCAATGGGGTTTCCCCGCACAGGTTCGAATCCTGTTCGTGACGAAGTTACATTTATGCTCCTTGAATTATGCTCCAAAAAGAGACGGGAAAACACAACAGTTTACTTTCACTTTCAGTTTCGATCGAATATAAGCATCAATATGTTGGAGTATTATGTGAGGAAAAAATTGACCAATGTTCAAGATCGTTCAAATAAAAAAATACTGGACAATGATTCAAAGAAAAAAAAAATCTAAAGTGGAAAGTATCTAATTACAAGTACTTAACTGTACGTAACATAATGAGTAGATCTTAATATTGCACTTTTTAAAATCAATTTGTTAAAATGTACTACTTCTAATTCCGTTTCTACTACATTTTAATTGCCCAGAGCTCAAAAAATAAAAAAAACGCACTGTAGTTCTTTGAAGCTTCCAAATTTTGATTTCAGTGACATCACAATGTTACGTTTCGAGGTCATTGTGGTGTCACTGAAATTAAAATTTGGGAGCTTCAAAGAACTACAGTGAGAATCTCTTTGCCTTCGGACCATGCACACAGTCGCAATTTTTGTTGGATGTGCATGTCTCTATCTACCAGTAAAAAAATAAATTAAATCATAAAATCATCTTTAATCTGTTTAGTTAGTTTCAGTGTAGTGGGGATTATTTTTTCAGTGAGAGTACGCGGCTCGATGACGTCCCCACTTATTTCTGAATTGGATATTGTGCCAACAATGGCCATAATGTAATACACGAAGATCAGAGCAAATACCAGTGTGCGAACTCCACAGTGAGTCTAAATTGGAGGTGCATACCTGCGTTCCAACACGATTTAGGCAAAATTTACTTAATCCAAACTATAATATGAAATTACAAATTGTATAAATTTAAGTATATAGTTTAAGTTTACAGTTTAAATACAAGTGTACAAGTAGTTTTGTTGAAATAACTTTGTTCCACAGTTTTGAGTTTTGTACATAGACTTTATTACATTTCACAGCTTCCATTTTTTCACAGGATCTGGTATAAAATAAATATATTTTGTTTTTTTTCATGGAAACTGAACATCCCTTTACAAAACTATGACATGCTTTAACAGAATTTAACATGCTCTGAATCCAAACAGCCAAAAGTGTCATAATAATAATAATAATAATAAAAATAAAAATAATAAAAAACAAATAGGCAGCTTTTTAAGACAACAGTGATAAAAATATAAAACCCTAATAATAATAATAATAATTACAGTAACTTTATCTCCATTTCATAAAGTGGTCTCAGTAAAATAATGTCAATATTTGGCTTAAAATATGTGTCAAAATAAAAATGTACCACTTGGTTGATGGATTTTAGTCCTGGTCTAGTCTTAATTTTAGATTCTATAATTTTGTCATGATTTGGTCTTGGTTTAGTCCTGGTTTAGTTCGGATCTAGTCCTGGTTTAGTCTTAATTTTAGATTCTATAATTTTGTCATGATTTGGTCTTGGTTTAGTCCTGGTTTAGTTCGGATCTAGTCCTGGTTTAGTCTTAATTTTAGATTCTATAATTTTGTCATGATTTGGTCTTGGTTTAGTCCTGGTCTAGTCTTGGTTTAGGCCTGGTCTAGTCTTGGTTTAGTCTTACTTTTAGATTCTATAATTTTGTCATGATTTGGTCTTGGTTTAGTCCAGGTCTAGTCTCGGTTTAGTCCACATCTAGTCCTGGTTTAGTCCTGGTCTAGTCTTGGTTTAGTCCTGGTTTAGTCCTGGTTTGTCATGTGATTTTGTCCATTTTCAGCATTTTAACGAAATAAAACAAACGTAAAACAAACAAAAAAATCTTCATTTTTCTGTATAAATACGAGACCCCAAACTTCACCTGTAAACACGACGCCAAAACTCACCCAGCTCATCTTTAAATCCACTTTTATATTTGATTATTTGTTGATTATCAAAACTAAATATTATCTTTTGCGCATTTGTAGCTCTTTTATCAACCTGTGTATCATTCATTTATTCGTTTTTCAAAATAAAACCAAAAATAACAACAACAAAAAAACAACAATTTTCTTCATTATTTGTCTCCAAAACCAAAATGAAAAAACAGATAATGGACTGAACGAGGACTAAACCAGGACAAAACCAGGACTAAACCAGGACTAAACCAGGAGTGTCGGGACGGGCCCAGAGAAGCGCCCACATAGAGTCGGGTGTCAGGTGATCAAGACTGAGACCGGGACCAGACCGGGACCAGGACCAGGACTGAGACCAGGACAGAGACCAGTTTAGTCCTGGTTTAGTCTTGTTTTAGTCCTGTTTTAGTCCTGGTTTAGTCCTGGTTCAGTCCTCTTTTAGTCCTACTTCAGTCCTCTTTTAGTTCTGTTTTAGTCCTGTTTAATCCTGGTTCAGTCCTGGTTCTGTCCAGGTTTAGTCCTGGTTTAGTCCACTTTTAGTCCTGGTTCAGTTCTGGTTTAGTCCTGGTTCAGTCCTGTTTTAGTCCTGTTTTAGTCCAGGTTTAGTCCTGGTTTAGTCCTGGTTCAGTCCTGGTTTAGTCCAGTTTTAGTCCAGTTTTAGTCCTGGTTCAGTCCTGGTTCAGTCCTGGTTCAGTCCTGATTTAGTCCTGTTTTAGTCCTTGTTTAGTCCTGGTTTAGTCTTATTTTAGTCCTGGTTTAGTCCAGTTTTAGTCCTGGTTTAGTCCATTATCCGTTTTTTCCATTTTTCATTTAAGCACAAAATCAAAAACTGAGAAAACGAATCATTATCTGTTTTTTTTTTTTTAATTTTGGAGACAAATAATAAAGAAAATCGTTGTTTGTTTTTTTATTTTCTTATTTTTCGTTTTTATATTGAAAAACGAATAAACGAACGACACACTGATTCTTCTCGCTTCTGTTTTTTTCTTTTAAAAACACGAGTATCTGAAACTTTTTTTTTTTTGCGAGATCTGCGCCGCGTTCAAGTCCATGGCTACAAATCGTGCGTCGCGTTGAGGTAGCGAAAACTCGTGGTTCAGAAACGGCGGGGTTTTTTGTTTTTTTTTTCGTGGTCAGTAGCGCCCCCTGTGGTTGGTCCGGGACATGGTCAAAGGTAAAGACGCCGAGGACAGAGACGACACTTCCCAGTACAAAGACCTGGAGAGGAAAAGCTGGTAGAGGATGACGACGGAAATGGACTGGCAGAGGATGACGCCGATCGTGACCACCTGGAAGAGAAAATAAACAAAAACAAAAAGACGATTAGAATAAACGGGACAGATTTTGAAATGTACAAAAATAAGAAAACGAAAAGAAAAAAAATTAAAATGACAATGATTTTCTTCATTATTTGTCTCCAAAACCAAAATAAAAAAGCGGATAATGATTTGTTTTTTCAGTCCTGAACCAGAACTGAACCAGGATTTAAACAGGACTAAACCAGGACTAAAAAAAGACTGAACCAGGACTAAATCAGGACTAAACCAGGACTAAACCAGGTCTAAACCAGGACTGAACCAGGACTAAACCAGGACTAAACCAGGTCTAAACCAGGACTAAATCAGGAATAAAACAAGACTGAACCAGGACTAAAACAGGACTAAACCAGGTCTAAACCAGGACTGAACCAGGACTAAACCAGGACTAAACCAGGTCTAAACCAGGACTAAACCAGGAATAAAACAAGACTGAACCAGGACTAAAACAGGACGAAACCAGGACTGAACCAGGACTAAACCAGGTCTAAATCAGGACTAAACCAGGAATAAAACAAGACTGAACCAGGACTAAAACAGGACTAAACCAGGACTGAACCAGGACTAAACCAGGACTGAACCAGGACTGAACCAGGACTAAACCAGGACTGAACCAGGACTGAACCAAGGACTAAACCAGGGACTAAACCAGGAATGAACCAGGACTGAACCAGGACTAAACCAGGGACTAAATTAGGGACTAAACCAGGACTAAACCAGTACTAAACCAGGACTGAATCAGAACTAAGTGTCGGGACGGGCCCATGTAAACTGTTGGGTGATCAGGACTGAGACCAGGACCAGACCAGAACCAGACCAAGAGCAGACCGGGACTGAGAGTGATCAGGACTGAGACCAGGACTGAGACCAAGGCCAGACCGGAACTGAGACCAGAACCAGACCAAGACCAGACCGGAACTGAGACCAGAACCAGACCGAGACCAGACCGGGACTGAGACCAGGACCAGACCCAGACAGAGTTACAGGTCGGCGCTGTGGAGAGGCGAGTCCGTTCACACTGAAGAATGGATGTTTTTTGTAGCTATAAAAGATTTATTCGATCAATACTGAAACCAGGACTAAACCAGGACTAAACCAGAACTAAACCAGAACTAAACCAGGACTAAACCAGGACTGTAGAGGGGCGTGTAGCGATAAATACACCAGATAAAACTGACCTTTTCTCTCTGGTGGTCGTTGAAAAGCGCCGACAAACAGACGAGCACCGGGTGACACAGAAACCACAGGAAACAGCCCTGAGGAGAAAAACAAAACAAACTTTAAATGAAACGTTTACTTCAGGTTTTCATGTTTGTCTGACTGTGACCTGGTTTAGTCGATATTTAACCGGTTCTACACTTCGACATCTGGAACGGCTCCGGCTGGAAGTGTTTAGAAAAAGGACGGACTCGCAGAAGAACCATTTTCCAAGTTTGAACAAATTAAATTCTACTGGGACGTGAGACTCGCTCGGTCCTTTAGTCCGAGGTCTGAGGATCAGGATCAGACTTTGGTGAAGCTGATGCTGCGTTTGGTGGAACAGGACTAAACAAGGACTAAATTATAGAATCTAAAATTAAGACTAAATCAGGACTAACTCAAGAAGACTAAACCAGGACTAAATGTGCTCTAAACTGGGCCTAAACCAGGACTAAGCCAAGACTAGACCATGATTAAATCAAGACTGAACCAGGAATGAACCAGGACTGAACCAGGACTAAACCAGGACTAAACCAGGACTAAACCAGGACTAAACCAGGACTAAACCAGGACTAAACCAGGACTACACCAGGACTACACCAGGACTAAACCAGGACTACACCAGGACTAAACCAGGACTAAACCAGGACTAAACCAGGACTAAACAGGACTAAACAACCAGGACTAAAAACAGGACTAAACCAGGACTAAAACAGGAGGACTAAAACCAGGACTACACCAGGACTAAAACAGGATTTTAAACAGGACTAAATTAACGTCTATAACACAATTAAACCATTACTATAACAGGACTAAACCAGGACTATAAAAAGACTAAACCAGATCTAAACCAGGACTATAACTGGACCAAACTAGGTCTAAACCAGGACTACACCAGGACTAAACCAGGACTAAAACAGGACTAAACCCTGACTAAACCCTGACTAAACCCTGACTAAACCCTGACTAAACCAGGACTAAACCCAGGACTAAACCAGGACTAAACCAGGACTAAACAGGACTAAAACAGGACTAAACCAGGACTAAAACCAGGACTAAAACAGGATTAAAACAGGACTAAACCCTGACTAAACCCTGACTAAACCCAGACTAAACCAGGACTACACCAGGACTAAACAGGACTAAACCAGGACTACACCAGGACTAAAACAGGACTGAAATAGGACTAAACCAGGACTAAAACAGGATTAAACCAGGATTAAAACATGACTAAAACTTTATTAAACCAGGACTAAACCAGGACTAAAACAGGTTTAAACCAGGACTAAACCCGGACTAAAACAGGTTTAAACCAGGACTAAACCCGGACTAAACCAGGACTAAACCAGAACTAAACCAGGACTAAAACAGAAGAGAACCAGGATTCTCGATCGGGACAGGCTGGAGGTGACCGCAGGAGAAAGGATCGACGGAGAGCTTGTAAATTAGAGTTTTATCTGCTGATTACTGATAAAATAACTGACTAAATAATAATATTTGAGTGAGTTTAGTGAGATGGGAGAGGAGGCGGGAGAGGAGGCGGTTTTCTGCTGAATCGAACACCGGGGCTTTCCCTGCCGCTCCTGCCGCTCCTGCCGCTCCTCACACTTTACAGCTCCTTTTGTCCTTTTGTCTGAACTCGCCGCACAAGTGCAAAACGCCTTATGTGTTTTCAAACCCTAATCTGGGCGCAGGGGTTGAGGTCAGGTGAGAAAATAAAGGAGCCGTCAAATCGTCTCTTTGCGTCTTTACCCGAGTCTAAACCCACACGCTGACAGAGTAAAGAGCCTGGACCTTGGTGAAGCTGATGTAGAAGTCTCGTTTGAGCGTGCTGCGTTCAGTGGAGGTGATCTGGTACAGGACCGAGGCCAGGACCAGGGCCATCAGCACCCGGAGGAGCAGCAGCAGCACCCCGGGGAGACTCCTCTGAGCGTGGAAACTGTGGTGCTCGCTGTCCGCCTCCGAGATCTGCTCCCACAACAGCAGAACGCCCTGAGAAACAACACCAAAACATCAGAATTTAAGAGTTTAGTTTAGTTTAATTGTCCGGCGTCTTAAGCGAGACACTTGACTCCGGGCAGGTCATATTCTTGTTTTCTTGTACCTGTGTGATGACGGCTCCCACAGCGACGGCCGTGGACGTGGGCGTCTGCTCCCACTGCAGCGGCCGGGACTGAGGCTTCCTCCGAGACAAAGTCCAACCCATACACAGACTCAGCAGCATGAAGAGCATCGAGACCTGAGCGATCATGTCCCACACTGAAAACACAGACCAGAACCAGGACTGAAGCAGGACCGGACCAGGACCGAACCAGGATCAGACCAGGAGGACTCAGGACTGAACAGGACTGAATCAGGACTGAAAGGACCAGGACTAAACCAGGACAGGACTGAATCAGGACTGGACCAGGACTTTAAACACAGAGAGATAAATGGTTCTTACACTCTGCCAGGCTGCCCATCAGCGGAAGACCAACCCCGTCTCTGGAATATCTGAAAACAAAACAAATGATTCTGTGAGTCACACTGGACCTGAGGTGATAGTTTGGACACCTCCTGATCTAATGTCTCACACACTTTTTACCTGGACAGGTGTGTGTGTACC